TGAAGGTAACTAGAATTGCAAACATCAGCTCCTTTGAATAATCACTAAAAAGAAAGTCAAGGGCTATAATCCTAGTCTAAATTTTTGGATGGCTTCCCAGTTAAATGTCAAAACAGTAGCTTCCTTTGGGATAGTTACTCCTTTTTATTGTACTGAAGAGCCCTTTTAGTGGCTTGTTCTGAATAATTACATATCACGCTTGACTTTCCTTTTACATAATATGAAAATTTTTTATTTCTTTATTCTCTATGGTAACAGCCAAGTTGCTTCAAGCCTGTTTCTTTTCTCTCAAGTACAAAGCTATTTTCCTGGAAGTGGAGGTGGGGGATCTGTCATACACGCAGGCAGAGAACGTCGAAGCAGTTCAGGCGAACAGAAACACATACCCCGTCCACACTTCATCTGCGTCAAGTCGGCTTGCTTTCTTCTGAAGCCATGTACATGTCCTCACCCCGGGACTTCCCAGGTGCTGTTTACTCAGCATAGAATGCTCTTCCCTCCTTCCCATCCTCAGGCTACTGTTCATCACTCATCTTTCACTGTCAGCTCAGAATCCATCCCTATCATGATGACTTTCCCCCTGATCATCCAGACAGGATCCTGTGTTCTTTTCTCAGCTAGGGAAAAGGTGTGCTTAGTCATTCAGTCGTGTCTGACTCTGTGGCTCCCATGGACTGTAGCTCGCCAGGCTCCTCTGTCCATGGGACTTCCCAGGCAAGAATACCGGAGTGGGTTGACATTCTGTTCTGCAGGGGATCTTGCCAACCCAGGGATCAAACCTGCATCTCCTGCGTTGGCAGGTAGTTTCTTTTACCATTGTGCCACCTGGGAAGCCCAAGGAATGGGTCCCCACTGTGAACTTTTTAAAGTATGCAATAAATGGTAGCATTAATTTCAATTTTTTTAAAAAACTTCACAATTTTCACAATACCTATAAAATTGTTCTTTTTCATGGGATTACCAATGTTTGTAGTCACCATCTGCATGTATTCTTTCCTGAAATATTGTCATAAGATACACTGATTTTCCTAGAACAGAAAGGGGGACCCCTGGCTAACTGATTGGACACACCAGCATTGAGCAGACCACTCCGCAGGAGAACATGCTTTCGTTTTTATTTTTTAATTGGAAGAAAACTGGTTTACAATGTTGTGTTGGTTTCTGTCGTACATCAACATGAATCAGTCATATATATGTTCCCTCCCTTTTTGATTGGCTTTTCTCCCATAGAAGTAGGTCACATCAATATCACAAGGGCAGGGACACTCACTGTCCCAATGACTCTCTGCCAAGTGACCTGGAATGAAGGAAGGCTGCTTAGAAGGCTGCTGAGCCACGGCTGGGGGGCAGATGACGGCTAACAACCCCCTGAACCCCTCCAAAGTCACCTCCTCCCTCCTCTTGAGGACTGCTCGAGACAAACAAGCACTCTGTTTATTACACGTGGTCCAGTTAAGTTGGTTGTGTTAGTGTTAGCTGCTATGTTGTGTCTGACTCTTTGAGACGCTATGGACTGTAACCCACCAGGCTCCTCTGTCCACAGGATTTCTCAGGCAAGAATACTGGAGTGGATTGCCATTCCCTTCTCCAGGGTATCTTCCCCACCCAGGGATCAAACCCACATCACCTGTATTTGCAGGTGAGTTCTTTACTACTGGGAAGCCACCTGGGAAGCCCTTTGATTAAGTCAATCCTTTTGTGCAAAGCAGTTTTTTTCCTAAATATGTTAGAGAAACTGTCATGTTCATCAGCTTTTTACTTTTATCAGTAAAGGATACTTATTTAGGGAGCTATCTGTCTGGGGCTGATGATATTTGATAACATTCACAAAGCAGTTTGCTTATTTTCATTATCTTATTTCTTGCAGCGCATCCTAACTCCTCGGGGAGCGACAACATCTTTTCCTGCAGGGGAAATGTCTCCAGCCTTCTCGTTGGTTCTCCCCCCAGCTTTAGACTCCAGGGAAACCAGCTCTCCCTCATTCTTGTGGATTCCCTAGATTTTTGCACGGAGATTTATGAAAAAGAGACTTGTAATGCTTCAGTGTTAATTAGATATCACAGTCTTGTGAACAATAAAAATGAGACTAAAAGGATGATCTGAAAAAAGAAAAAGGAAAGCAAAGGAGATTTAGAAAAGATTTCAAAGATTCTTTAAAACCACTAGGAAATTCTTCAGAATGGAAAAAAAATTCTACAAGTATGAAAATTATTCTGCTGTCAAATACTTAGCTTATTTACTGTTAAAATGTTAATATTGTACCTTCCTAGACTGAGACTAACTTTTAAATTTCAGGCATTTAGATTTGGAGTTCAACTCACAGCTTATTAAAGTGTGAAATGTGATTCTCTAATATTCTTACAACTATGCCCCAGAACTCCAGAGCATACATACTATATGGGCCAATTAATTTTCAAATTTCATAAAGTATGTCAGTGCTATAAACAATTAGTAGTGAGAAAAAAAAATGATACCCTTTTTGATGGTAGAATGACATGGAGCACTTAACAAACATTCATTGAGGGTCTGTTGGGCTCCAGCGGTAGGGATGGGGTGGGGAAGGGGACAGGGTAAGGATGAATGGAGATGCGAGTGGGGGAAGGGGAATCAGGACATTCACAAAGAACAGTACCTGCTTTCAAAAGGTGCCCACAATCCCATGAAGGGGAAAGAAAAGGAAGAGGAAAAGAAAATGCTATTGGTATGCTGACAGTTGTATCATGACAAAACAGGTAGGTAGCCTCCAGTTTTCAAATGGTTGAGCCACTTTTTTAATAAAGCCTGGAATCCAGGATTTTCCAGCACAGGCCCAACTAAGGAGCTGAGGAGATCAGTAGCTGGTTTTTTTTTTTTTTTTCTCTTTGTCCCCCTTAGGGCCTATAATAGTTCTACTTCCTGATCAAAAAGTAGATCAACTCCAAGTGTAAAAACAGTTTCATTTGCCGCAGCTTAAAATGTTTTCTTAACTCAAGAGTTCAGTGATGGAGTTCTGTCCGAGTTCCCTTATTCAGAATTCATGAGGCCGTGAGTGCATCCCCTCACCACTCCACCTTCGGGAGAAACTGCTGGAAAGCCCTTTGTGTGCTAAAAAGGTAGAAGCAAAGTCCAGCTAATCGTACTATGATACTTCAACAAGATGATGAAACTGGGTTTAGAGTAAGACCATTCACCAAAATCGCACACTATACCAGGGATAAGAAAGACCCAGAGGAATTCTAATTTTCACTTCCTAATTAAGCTATCCCTCTTGAACTGAGCTCTGATCCACCATGATATTTTGTCCTGGGAGTAACTGTCCAGCTTCACTTTCTGCCACACCTCCCACCCTGGGCCACATCAGCTGTCACTAAGACACCCAACTCCAGTCTCTCTATGACTGCGCCAAGGTCCTTTCTTAGGTCTTAGTACCCAAACCTGTGAGAAGTGGACCATAAAAAAGGCTGAGCATTGAAGAATTGATCCTTTTAAACTGTGATGCTGGAGAAGACGTTTGAGAGTCCCCTGGACAGCAAGGAGATCAAACCAGTCAATCCTAAAGGAAATAAACCCTGAATTTTCAGTGGACGGACTGATGCTAAAGCTCCAATATTCTGGCTACCTGAGTGAGGAAGAGCTGACTCATTGGAAAAGACCCTAATGCTAGGATAGATTGAGGGCAGGAGGAGAAGGGGATGACAGACGATGGGATAGTTGGATGGCATTACCAACTCAATGGACATGAGTTTGAGCAAACTCTGGGAGATGGTGAAGGACAGGGAAGCCTGGCCTGCTGCTTCACGCCATGGGCTCGAAAAGAATGGGACACAACTTAGGGACTAAACAACAGCAACAGCCCTAAACCTGGCACTGTTTTACCTCCTTGGAATGACAACTTATTGTATTATAACAATTGCCCCCTAACAGTGTGGGCACCCATTGAAGACAGAGCTCATGTGTTATTAATCTTTGTACCCTTGTCAGTGTACCTGGCAAAGATACATGGCTTAATGAATGAATGGGTGCATGTATACAAATCATAATTTCTGCCCATAAAGAACAGGATTGTGACATACTCCAACTACATGTTTCTGTGTGTTTCCCAAAAACACTGTTACTGTCTATATAGTTTTATAACAGCTTTACTGAGATGTAACTCACAGGTAACCTCAGGTTTTCAAAAGTTTACTGGGTATCACTTGTTATGAGAAAACTACATTAGTTACCATTTTCGATCACCAAAAGAAATACAAAGAGGGTTTTTGCTTTTATGTAAAAGGCAAAAAGCAAAAACAGCACTCAGCACTCGATTTGCAGCAAGCCTATACAGAGGCAGTGTCAGGCTCCACCTCCCCCCACCACCCCGCCCCCAACTATACTGGGCATCTCAGTATCAGTCTGCCATAGATTTGAACTAAGTCTGCGAACATCTGTGCTTTATCTTGATTGATTTTGTGTGTTCATTAGCAAGATGTGCCCAAGGTAATTCTTTTGTGTTTGCTGCCCTTTTGGCTTATGAAAAGTTTCATAGAAACACTCTACTTCAGGTAGGGGGGAAGCTTGCACAAGTTCACTCGAAGTGTATTAATACAATGCAGTGGTTTTTAGTGGATTCAGAACTGTGCGTCCATCACCACTAACAAATTGAGGGAACAGTCTCATCACCTTTAAGAAACCCCAACCCATTAGCAGTCACTCCCCACCCCCCTCGCCCCCCTAGCGACCATTAATCTACCTTCAATCTCTACGGATTCCTAATTTCTTGTTAAGCTGTGTACACAGCGTCAATTATTAGAACGCATCTGTGCCTAAGACCTAAGTGCTGAAGCAGCTTTGATTCAGTGTAGAAGTACAAAATCAATTTCTTTGCTTTGTGACCTTGGGTAAGTTGTTGAACTGGATTAAGTTTCCTCCTAAAAATGAAGAAGTTTGGACTGTGTAAGAGGTTTTAAAAAAAAAAGCAAAACCCCTCTGGCTATAATTCCAATAGGCTTCCTAATAAATGTCTTCCTGTAATTAACATTTCACACCAGAACTGCTGCAGCCGCTGCCTTCCCCGCGAAGGGCCCTAGAGAAAACGTTTTCTCTTTTTCTGCCCTTTGTGGGTGTCTACTCCTGAGCGGGCCAAGGAGAAACTGCAGAGCACAGGAGCGGAGACTCTCGAGCGCTCCGCGCCCGCAGGAAGCCTCGCCCAGCTCGGGACCGCACCCTCCGCGGCGCCCCCGGGAGAGAGCCGGCAGCAACGCGCGCCACGGGCGCGGGGAGGGGCGCGGCCGTGGGGAGGGGCGCGGCCGTGGGGAGGGGGCGGAGCCAGTGGCCCGGCAGCCAATCCGGGCGGCCGCGCGTCCCGAGGGCCGCTTGCCGGGCGCGCAGGGGGCGGGGCTCCGCTTGACAGTGGCGGTCGCCGGGCAGCGAAGCCCGGGCGCAGCGAGCGCGGCGCGGCGCGAGGAGCACGGGTGGCGGCGGCGGCGGCGGCGGCGCAGGGCCCCCGCCGGCTCAGGGTCTCGGCGCAGCGGCACAGCCTTCCGCGGCGGCAGCGGCGGCGGCGTCCGGGCGATGCGGCGGGTCTCCTCAGGCGCCGGTGTCCCGACCTCTTCCTGAAGGTACCGCGCGGGGCTCGCCCCCTCGCCCTGGGGCGGCGCAGCGCCGACCCCGCGGCTTTGTGAAGCCCAGGCTGGGCGCGGGGTGGGTGGGGCCGGGCGGGGCGGCGCTGTCTGGGCCGCTTTCCCTGCGAGGAAGAGGGTGGCGGCGGAGGGAAGCGGGCTGAGGGAGGAGGGCTGTCTCCCGGGCGCGGCTGGCGGCCCTGCAGCCCTCCATCCTCCTGCCATCCCCTACCCTCCCCACCCCATGTGGCTCGAAAGAGGTTTCGTTCCAGGAGAAAGTTTGGTGCTGAGACGCGCGGAGCCGGACTCGGGGGTCCCTGAGGCGCGCCCCGGTAGAGGGGAGGCAGGTCGTCCTTGTCGGGGACGCCCGTGACCTGAATATGGGCAAGCGGGAACCCAGGCCACTTTCTACCGTCTCCCACACCCACTCTCCCCCCAGCTGCATCCTCGACGCAGGCTCTTCCCCGAGGGAATTCCTCGATGGGGATTTCCCGCCCCCCCCCATCGGAGCAGGGGACGGGCACCCAGAGCCCCCCCACCCCCGCTGTGGCTTCTGCCAAAGGTAGTAGTTAAGAATCCCGCACCTCGTAATTAAAGGTCCCTGAACAGTGTGTCGAAGCTGCCGATGATTCCTTCTGTGTCACATCTTGAATATTTTCTTCATGCTACTGGGCTTGCAGTTGGTCTCCAGCGTGCTGGGGTGTGGAGCACAGGAAGGGGAGTAGAAGCTGTGGCCCTTCTCTCAGGGTGCAGGTTGCGGGGAAAAAAAGAATACAGAACGCACTGATGCACTTGAAGATGGGAGAAAGTTTCAGCCTTCAAAAAAAAGATGGGTTTCCGTGTGGATTATTTGCTTTGAGGAAACTTCCTCAAATGCAGAGAAATAGAGTTAGTATTAAGTTTTACACAAGGTTGTAGGAACACAGTCTGTCATCATTGTAGCTGGGAGTAGAGATGGTCATGTGTTTATCATAGGGACTTGAAATGAGGAGATGTCGACAAGTGTGTGTTGAGTTCTGTTTCGTTCACATTAGCCTGATACCTTTCTGATCATACGTGTGGGTTCTCGCAGGTACTTTATTTCTTACCAAGAATATTCATACCATAAGACAACTTCATAATACCTTTGGTACCCTGCAGACCGCCTTAGCCAAGGACATGAACCTCTTGTTCTGGTCCACACCGTTTCTCCCTTCACCAGGTCACATCACTTCCATAAGAACGTTTACATGTGAAAGAGCAGGAAACCTGCTTCGTCCATGGTGACACGATATATACAGCATATACATGGTGCATACAGGTGTCCTAGATATTTTGTATGTAACTTTGATTCTCACAGTCACCCTGATGTGTTCTTAACTTCCCCTATTTTAGGATTTAAAGAGTTGTGCAGTCTTCCCAAGATTGGAATTTGAACCTGGATGTCTTTGACTTCCTGCCTGGTGCCCGTTTCCACTAATCTATGCTATCTCTTGGCCTCTCTGGAGAGAGAGTTGCCCATGTGATGATACAATAGGAAATCCCAGCATGGCGATGTACGCTGCGTCTCCTGACCTCCTGGGTCAGAGCCCTTTATGGAGTGTCTTCTCCTTCTGGGAGCCCACCCCTGTGTGCCCAGCTGGTATGACATCATGGGCTCCAGACTCTACCCGCACTCCCCTACACCCAGGATGTAAGTCAGATAGCAATCTCCAAACATACCTTCCCCTTCCTAATACCTTGGTTCCAGAAGACAGGTGACCCAGTGTTTTCCCTTTCTGCTGCTTAAGGAGCAGTTTCTCCCCTCTCAGCCATTCAGGTCTATTTTAAGTCTGCACAGATAAGTACACCCCACCAGCTGGCAGCCACGCTCCCCTGCGGTGTTCACAGGGACACACTCACCCTCCTGTACCAACTGTCAGAGAATTCCTGACACAGAGCTGCCTACTTACAGTGGAAGACTGAAACAAGGTCTCTGGGGAAGATGGTGTTCGTCCAGGGAACCCCTGGATTCTCCTCTACTGACCAGAAAGGAGACTCACCTGAGTACCCTAGGGCAGGAAGCAGGCCTTCTCAATAGTACCAAATGCTGCGTGTGTGGTGGTCTGTTGTCAACACTGTTAAAGATAATGTATTTGTCATATAGAGATGCTTTTACCAGTTGTCTTCATGATGGGTGGAGGTGATCCTCTATTTCTGATTTGATTACTCACTTTTACACTGAGGCAGTTGTCACCTGGCTGAAGGGTCTGGAAACCTGGTATCACAGTTGTGATAGTGAGTTTGAAGCTGTGTCTAAAAAAAAAAAGTGTCTTTTATTATAACCTACAGGTACTCTTTTATCACTTCTCTTCCCTAGGCGGGTTGTGTGTATGTCTATTCTCTCCCTTGCTATAGTCTTCAACTCTTCTCTGGTTCTAAAATGGTTTGCAGTACTAAGGCTAAAAAGAGATAAATTCGTTTTTGAGCTGTGACCATATGCTGCCTGGAAGCCTATCCTCGTAGTTGGCATTTTACTCATGTTACTCTAGTGTTCAGCATCTCAAAGTCCCATGTGTGTGCCTTGGGATTTAACATGGGCTCTCCTGTCTAATCATTTCACTCTGTCCCCCGCAGCATGGTGAGGTTTCAGTCTAGAAGACAGCCGTGGCACCTCCTGCCTGATGGCTCTAAACTGTGGAAAACTGGAGCAGCACTAATTAAAGTTGAGAAAGTGGAACTTGAGGTGTGCTCGCTGTCACTCTGGCACCAGAATGGGAAATGTACCAAAACCATTTGAGGGGAGAAAGAGTGATGCCACCTTCTTTAAATGACTGGGGATCTGCAAAACTGTACCAGGTAATTGACATGGTATAGTCAACCTGAAGTTGGGAGCATGCAGATACCTCTCTAACCTAAAAGTGTCCACAGTCAACAAACTTCCACTCTGCATTCTATTCAGGTATTAAAACCTATTATTAACTGGCAACCCATCTTTATTTCTGTATTTCATCAAATCGGGAATCTCATCAGAATGTAAGACATAGCATGATTTTTCTTATACAGGGAGGAAAAGAAAATACTGCCAATTATATTATGACTTGCCACTGTAACAGTGGTCTTCCAGGACACTGCATGAAACTGTCATGCTAGCATCTCACAGCTTTCAATGTTCATCTCTTCCATCAGTTGTGGTACTTTTTACTGCTGGTACCTCAGTAGCATTGCTTATGGTGTGATAGGCAATCAGTTTGTATATGTCTCAGTTACGAACTGTAACACAGATTCCTTTTCTGTGTTTTCCTTCAGTCTAGTTAAGCATTTGGATTTTGCTTTGAAAGGTAATGTGGAAACGCTAAACAAAGACAAATGTTTCCTTTAGTAACAGAACATTTAGACCCCACTACTCTGTTTGTTTGCCTTGGTGCACACACAGTAACATCTTTTAAGTGCCAGATCATAGTGTAATTTTTTTGAAAGCCATTTAGATGGCAATTTAACGGAAGATGTGCAATGCCAATGATGCCCCTTAGTGGAAGCAATGACAAAATGAATAGCGGTGACCAAGTTGATGCAAATACAGGGAAATGATGATTGTGCTGTGACTACTGCCAAGTTGTCAATCATTTTAAGATACTGTCCTTATTAAGACCCATCCTGATTTCAGAGATATTAAAGTGTGGGGGAAAAAATGAACCTTATCAATGAAATATGTTAATCTGTGCCCACTTAGTTTGGGGAACTTGACCTGCCTACCGTCTTGCATGTTTTCATTCATTCACAGAGTCATTCATTTTGTTAAACTCCAGGCTTCAAAGGCTGATGATGAGAGCTGGCAGAGTGGCCCTAGTGTGAGCGCCAGTAAGAAGGTGGTTAGGAGTGTGGCCTCAGGATCAGCTGGTTTGCATATGAAAGGCTTGTGGGAAGGCCTGTCTTTTTATCTTTAGGAATTGGCTCAGCCTGGGAAGGACACTTCCTCCAGGGTCCTCAAGGCACCCCCCCCCCCGCCCCCCGAGATGTCAAAACATCAGGATACAAAAAATAAAAGGCTTGGTTAATTACCCGGAGATTTTTTTTAAATAGTCAGCTAATGGATTTGGCTCAGGTGCAGCCAAATGTGAGGAGGTGCCTAGCTCAGGATGTGACACATGGTCTCATCCAGTCAACATTCATTAAATCCAAGTTGTGGTGCCAGATGGTCCAACCGTGCTCACAGTCAGCCTGTGCTGGATACTGTATCAGGTGTGCACTGTTCATCTTGAGAGAGAGCAAAAAATGAGAGGCTGTACACTGCCCAGAGGACCCCTGGATGAAAGATGAACCACCCAGGACAAAGGCAAAACACAAGTCTCTAAAAACATAAATGAACCCTTAAGCAGATACTTCTTCAGCTTTAAGATCTGAAAATCTGTAAGGTAATTATATATTGGGGGCTTATTCACTGTGGATTTGGAAGATCAGTAAGAGTCAGGAAACATGAAGAAGTTAGTATTAGTGGCTCAGTCATGTCTGACTCTTTGCGACCCCATGGACTGGGGGTCAGGTTCCTCTGTCCATGGGATTCTCCAGGCAAGAATACTGGAGTGGGTAGCCTTTCCCTTCTCCAGAGGATCTTCCCAACCCAGGGATTGAACCCGGGTCTCCGGCATTGCAGGCGAATTCTTTACCATCTGAGCCACCACGTTGCTTCTCAGAGTGAAATTGGAGTTGGGAAGTGAATTTAGTGTTGGTGAGTGGTGTGCTCAGGAGTCGATCGCTAAAGGTGAGTTACTTAAAATAGCGTGAGGCATCCTTTTCTTCTCAGCTGCTGGCAATATCGATCAGATGAGCAGATGATTTTCATACACAGAAAAGAATGTCACTGGAGAGAGTTATTTGAAGGCAGTTAATAGGATGTGTGGTGGCGACAAGTCTAGGCGTAGAATGTTTCACCTATACCTGGCTGACAAGTGTCTGCTTTGAGGACACTGATGGAGAAGGCAATGAGTGGGGTGGACCTGGGTTTAGATTCAAGGCATTGCTCTTAATAATGAAAGCAGGGGTGTTTGAGGATGGGCGTGTGAAGTAAATGAGTCCTTCCTCTGGGCAGCCTCATGCCTTTTCTTTATGTGGCTGGTTAATGGTTATAACGTCTTCAGAATCCTATGAATTTTTCTTAGAATCTTGACCATGCATGTTAAGAAATAATCATGAAAACGTAAGCAGGAGGTCAGTCTCTTCATGTAAGAAGGGTAATTCCTTTGCAGTGAAAGCTGTGCAGTAGCCCTCCGCGTGCAATTCCTCCTAGTCTGTGACTTTGCACGCATCATTCTTGTGTTCGTGTAGGAGTTTATCTGTGTTGATGGAAGTTGCAGAAGTGTGTTCACTGGAACATACAGCTGCTCTGCCTTTGTGTTTCCACACTGATGTCATAACTCTTTAGTTAAAATAGTGATGGTAGCTGAAACTGGCCAGCGAAAGCATTTCTGCCTGGCTTATGTTGCTGACCTGGATTTGACGTTGGTCAGGATGATCTTTGGGTTTATCCACTCCAATGATGCATTACCTCTCAACCTCACATACATTTCAGAATCCAGGCTTTTAAGGCCTTTTAACCTGATTCCCTACATGAATTAGGTCCACATGAAAATGGAATATTCGGTCAAATGAGATAATATGCAGAAACATGTGAATCAGCCAAGAAATGTAACGGACAATTACATCAAGCTGAATATTGCTTTCAGGTGTTACTCATCTTCGGCAATCCTTGAGGTCCTTGGCTTTCTGGAGCTCTTTCTTTGTGTTGATTCTTAAGTGAGACCCCCTATGGAAGGCTGGGGGGAGAAGGGACAGCCTTCCTGGAGCTATTCTTGATAATTATGTTCTAACTTTAACCTTTGTGAATCTGAATTGCTCTCTTCTGGGAGTGGGGTAAGAGGCATCTCCCTGCTGATCTCTTCAGCCCTGGAGCCTAGAAAAGTGCCTGCAAATGGCAGGGGCTTAATGATTATTTGCGGAATTAAAAAATATCCTTTGACTGGTTGACACAGAAATTCCCATCCTTCTTTGGTGCAAAGATTCTTATTACTTATGAATAGAAATCCTCACAAAATACCTTATGATTTCATATCTGAATCACTTAGTATAAAGAATCAAGGATATCAAACCTGAAATTTTAAAGAATGGAAGTCATGAAGATAAACTCTCCTTAACAAATTAAAAAAATCTATTGCGAGTGAGCATTATTAAAATTCTATAGTATTGGATTGTAAACTAGGAAGACTAAAAATAATGGTATAGAAATTACAGATTTTGACTCAGATTATTTAGTGAGCTTAACACATACAAATAAGAAACACAGCTTTTGAAAAAAGACTCAGTTACCTAAGGAAGCTTGTTAGAATGATAGACTAATATCTTGAAGAGAAAACAGTAAGAAAGAGAATAGTTTACATTTTGGTCTTAAGCAAATACTGCATGAATTTCCGATAAGTTAAGTGTTAAATGTTGTAGAGAAAAAAAGACATACCATAATGATGGATACATGTCATTATACATGTGTCTAAACCCACAGAATGGACAGCACAGTGAATGAACCATAATGTTAACCATTAACCATAAGGGACTTTGGGTGATTATGATGTGTCAGTGTGGGTTTATCAGCTGTAACAAATGTCCCCACTCTCGTGGTGATGTTGACAATGAAGGAGGCTGTGTATGTGTGGGGACAGAGAATATATGGGAAATCTCTGTGCCTTCCCCTCAATTTTGCTGTGAACCTAAAACTGCTCTGAAGGAATTAAGTCTTATTAATAAAAAAGGAAAAGAGAGGAAGAGAGGAGGAACGGACAGACAGAAAACAGTAATTTTTCTATCCCAAGTCTGAAGGCAATGAAGACTTTTCTGAATATTCATGTCATCTTATAAGACAAATACATTGGAATATAGAAACCTGATAATTATTTAAATAATGAACTGTAATAAAACCATCCTAAAAGGCAGCATGATAGAACATGGCTAATGGAAGCATATCTAAATTATGTGGGGGGGGGGGGTTGATACGAATATGGGATGTGTGGCCTGGTCACACATCCCAGGGGTTGAGGGAGGGAAGCAGATGTTTTGGTCCTTGATCTACAAATGTTAGATCAATTCATGATAGGCCCAGAGTGTAAAACATATACATTAATCACTACCACTTAAAGGTGTATTTTGTGTTTTGACAAAGATCAAAGATCAGAAGTAATTGGGAAGTTGGAATTCTATATCCACTGACTGCTTGTTCATTTGTTGCATTGCTGGGGGAAAAACAACAACAACAACAACCCTGCTATAAAGCACAGGAAGCTCAGCTCAGTGCTCTGTGATGACCTAGATGGGTGGGAGGGAGGTCCAAGAAGGAGGGAATATATGTGTACCTATAGCTGATTCATTTGGTTGAATCATACAACAATGCAAAATAATTGCACTCCAATTAAAAAACAAACAAACACACCTGAAAACCAAAAAACAACAGAAAGCATCCTTGAAACACCACTCGATAGTAAGGGCTTTATTCAGAAACCACTTGAGACAGAATTATTCTTGTTTTTCCAGACAATAGAAACAAATTTCACAGGAGGCTACAGTTTGGACACTTGGAGGTATTAGTAGCACATTGGACAGTGTCTCTGCCTTCGTTGTATGCCTTAAAAGCGCACTTATCTGAAACAGTAGTTCAGGGTTTGAAATCTGCTCTGCTCTCAATTCTCACCACATGTTCACTCCAGCATTGTTTTTCTTATCTCTGTGGGATGTGGAGGTAGAAGCTCTGTCTCTGTGAGTATTGCATGTGGCTGGAGAGTGACCTTCCAGCCCACTGAAAGGATCAGAACAGAGGTTGGGAGGTCCCTTGAGCAGTGGCTATGTTATATCAGGTGTGTCTGGGGGATGGAAGGAGCTTCAACTCAGTCTGACGGGGGCTTACCATCCCCTTGTCATGGAGTGGGAAGTGCATCATTGCCCAGTGAGGGGGCTGTGTGGCTGGTACCCAGCTAAAGGCTCTCTGTCGTCTCCTTATGCCATTTAATCCTCATACAGACCCTGGGCAGTCAACCCTGTTACTGTCTCTGTTTTGCAGATGAGGAAACTGAACAAAGAGGTTAACTATTTTGCTTTGGGTGACCTTGATAGCAAGTGAAGAGGCTGAGAGAAGAACTTGGAGCATCTGACTGGGATGCAGCACCGACTATGCTCCCATGGGGTGTTCTTAACACCCTTCAGACTTAACTTCCTTGTCTGTAAATTGGGGCCATTCATTTCTATACTCAGCCAGTTGGTGGTGAGTTTGCAAGAGAATATGAATAAAGTATCAAGCACCCTATGGCCCAGTGCACAGTGGTTGCCTGTTATTATTGCTGTCTTTTTCCCTGGTGGTCCAGTGGCCAGAACTCCACACTCCAATGCAGGGTCCCAGGTTCAATGTGTGGTCAGGGAACTAGATCCCATGTACTGCAACTAGTTCACATGCCGCAGCTCAAAGATTCCGATGCCGCAGTGAAGCTTGAGGATTCCATGTGCTGTAGCCAAATAAAAATTGTAAATAATCTTAATAAAGTTAAAAAAAAAATTAGCCCATTGCCATAGCAGCCACTCTATCCTAGCTGTTCACTGTTACAGGTCTACAGGAGCTTCTTTACTGATGTCTGTTAAGTCCAGTCTAGAACCCTCTCTTCTCCACCTGGATGGATATTTTCTTCCTTCTGTAGAGTGACTGGATGTGAGGGAAGCAGACATGGAAGAGGAAGCGCTTTAAAAGGAAGGGAGGCAGAGCAGCCTTAATCATTGTGGGAACCTCCACCCCCTCAGCAAAACAGTAGGATTAAGTCCACCCAAAGTAACACAGGAGGCATGTTTTCATTCAACACTCCGCTGCCAAGAACTTCATCTTCGTCTGTTATCCTTCGAGTCCTGTATCTGTTGTCTTCTCAAGAAGAAGAAAACTATAGGCAACCTCTAGTGTACTCTTGAAGCAGTAACTATATAGAAAGAGTACATTTAATTACAAGGTCCCAAGTAGTTACTGACCATCAACATTCTTGTAAATATATTTAGCCAGTGAAACCTACAATGTATTCCTCTAGACCTTAAAGAGATTCTGGTACATCCACTTTGAAATATTTAGAAATCAATTAAGAAATACCTTTTTTTCCTCACAAGTCCAATGTCCTGTTTATAGAACACCTCATTTATACATTTGTAATACATTTTAACTTATTTAAAATGTGTTGCAGCTTCCCAAGTGGTGCTAGTGGTAAAGAATCTGGCTGCCAGTATAGGAGATACAAGAGACTCAGGTTCGATCCCTGGGTCAGGAAGATCCCCTGGAGTAGGAAATGGCACCTCACTCTGGTATCCTTACCTAGAAATTTCCATGGGCAGAGGAGCCTGGCGGGCTACAGTCCATAGGGCCGCAGAGTCAGACATAACTGAAAGGCTGAGCACAAAATACATTAGATATGTTTTTAATGTTTGCATGTTTTATTATGCAAGTAATATGTTCAGTGGGCTTCCTTGGTGGCTTGGATGGTAAAGAATCTACCTGCAATGCCAGAGACTCTGGTTTGATCCCTAGGTTAGGATGATCCCCTGGAGAAGGGAATGGTTTACCCACTCCAGTTTTCTTGCCTGGAGTATGCCCTGGATAATGTTGAAAATTTTAAAGATTTAGTTAAGCCAATAGAAAAATATAAAAACCAACCATAATTCCACTTCCTAAATATCATCACTGTTTGCATTTTTGCGTATTTTCTCCCAGATTTCTTTTTTTCATGTATAGATGTATACAAGATTGAATCATTTAGTATACTATTTTATAAGCTGCTTTTTTCACATAGCATAGTTTATCCCAAATCTCTCACCATGACAGTAAACCATTAGGTAGATTTATTAGACGAATGTCAACAGACCTTGGCCCTTGTGTTTCAGGACACTAGAAAGGCCTCCACTTAGACCCGAGGCTGAAGATGTTGTCCAACTCTATACAAAACATGCTGTCTGCCTGGTGGAGCTTTCAAGTCCCCAAGCTGGGTCTCATTTGCACAGTGTGAGGTCTACACATGCACTCCAGCTCTGCTCAGTACCCTTGTCATCCTGAGGCTCCTGCTGTTTATCTCCTGAAGGTTCTCGGTGTCACCCTGGCGTTTCTGACACAGAACTGCAAATGAGCTTTTTCTGCCTCCCATCCTCTGACGGGTGAAGGTCAGGAGATACACAGCCCTGTCAACTGGCTTCTTAAAACCAGGACCATCTGCCGATAAAAACCTGCCATTCAGAATGCTGACTCCCTCCCCACTTCTACAGCTGGCTCTCAATTACTGCTTCCCCTGGGAGCCAAGATCCCCAAGATCATTAAAACCCACAGTGGAAAACCAAACTTCACGAGAGTTTTAAATCTCCTCCTTGTCCATCTTTCAACTAGAGCTGCCTACAAATGCACTGATTTGAGTTTCTTCTCCTTTTATACCCCTGATTCATGGCCTAATGAGCAATAAGGTAGCCAAAATGTGGTTATCAGACAGACGAGCAAGCAGCCTGTCTTTATGATCCTACAATTTGAGTATATGTCTCTGAAACCTCTCCTGCCTTCACCGTGAAGGGTACTAAGCAAGGTGTTTTATAAGTTGCTTTTTGCTACCTAGGTTTTCCAAAAACCCATCGGAGCTCTTCACATTAAGTTCTAAGTAATTGATATTCTTTTCTTTTTTAAACACTATTTCCTCTGTTTCAGTCTGCCATTTAATTTCCACCCTCCTGCAAAAAAAAAAAGAACAACAACAACACACAACAACAACTTATACACACACAAGTCTATGTGTATTTCTGTGTATGTATATTCATACAAATAACTTTTTAAAAAATGAATAATCTGTACCATCTTTCTAGGTTCCACATACATGCGCTCATATACAGTGTTTGTTTTTCTGACTTACTTCACTGTATATGATAGACTCCACGTCTCCACAAATGACCCAGTTTCATTCCTTTTTTATGGCTAATATTCCATTGTATGTTATATATATCTACCACGTCTTTATCTGTTCATCTGTCAATGGACACTTAAGTTCCTTCCATGTTTTGGGGCTATTGTAAATTGTGCTGCAGTGAACACTGGGATGCATGTATCTTTTTGAATTATGGTTTTCTCAGGGTATATGACCAGAAAGAATAGAGATGTAGAGATAGGGAACAGACATGTGGACGGGGGTGGGGGGCGGAGAGGGGAGGATGAGTGGGGAGATTGGGATTGACGTGCGTGCATTGCCGCATGTCAAACAGATCACAGTGGGGACCTGCCCTTGTAGCACGGGGAGCTCAGCTCGGTGCTCTGTGGCGACCTAGAGGGGTGGGCTAGGGGAGGGCTTGGGAGGGAGGTCCAGGAGAGAGGGGATGTGGGTATACACAGAGCTGATTCACTTCGTTGTACTGCAGAAACTACTCAGCATTGTAAAGAAATTATACCCCAATTAAAAAAAAAAGAGTCACCATTCTCTAGCCATGCATGTTTTTGTTCTTATACCTTCTCCACCGAGCAGTGCTGAGCCTTGACTTCCCCGGGCATTCAGCACGCCTGTGTGCATGCACATCCATCCTTCTCTCCTCGGCCAGCATGGGGCAGCTGCCTGTCCCGTCTGCTCCTCTCTCCCCCAGCTTCAAGCCTGCCTTTAGTCCTGACATCTCTCTTCTCCCCCCTCTTTCCTGCTGGTCAGTGCTCTGACATTCTCATCCTCTCAGGGAAGACATGGGATACATCCGAAAGAAGAAACTTTAGGACCACGGTATTCTCTGCAACCATCACAGTCATTAACGTTTCCTGAAACAGCACTCCACGTTTAAAAGATTTTGGGGTTTTGGTTTCTGTTTTTCCTTAAAGGAAGCCTTTCTGTGGACTGGCTTTCATGGCACTCTTGTGGCTGGAAAGGGCTACTGTCCTCCGGTTACGTCATAGATGCCGAGAAGGGCCATTGCGACTAAGGCATGGCCAGCACTTAGTTCTGAGCATTCTAACTGTCTTGCTGTATAAGTGGCTTATTCCTCAGCAACAGTAGTGATTCAGGCCCCATGGGACCACTCCAGCCTATTTGAATAAGCTATCAATAACATTAAAATCCTTCCCAGACATCGACATTTGCCAGCACTTACAGGCCAGTGCAAATGGGACGAGTGGCTTTTGGACGTTTTCAGTTTCTCCCCAGTGTTTGTTAAACAGTCAAGGCATTTATCAGAAATGGCCATGGGACACGAACACATTCTAGTATGTGCTTTTAATTGTATTTTTGCTGAAACTGTCAGACTCGATTTCTTGTTGGATCATGTCCTTAGCCCCGGAAAGGAATCCTGGAAGTGCTGAAAAGAATTCTATGTGAATTAGCCCTATTTAGAAGAAGACCAGTCAGAGCTGGCATAGCGGCCTAAGCTTTCAGCCAGGGCTGAGTGTGAGGACTGCCGATTAGGAGGCAGCAAGGGGGGCCCAGATCTGCGCCCCCTCCTCTCCTCTCCCACTCAACAGAGCACTCCGGGCCCACTGACCCAGCCAGGCGCCAAATCCTCTGGACCCCAGACTAGAATCTGAGCAACACAATCCAAAGCTAGCCAAGAGCCTGGGGAGGTGGCTGTGGCATGAGTGATTTCATTTGCGTCCTAGATGAGTTTTAGGACGACGACAACTTCTCTCTCGAAAATGTGTTTTTCACACAAATCCCTTCTTTTTTCTTTTTTTGGAAAGAGTCCACTGCTTCTATCAAGTTCTTCGATCTTAGAGGAATCCATGGCTACAAAGTGCTTAAGATCCATGGTTCTAGCTTTTCTTTCCAGTTTAAAATAGCCTCCCCTTTGCTGACTCCTAAGTTTTAAAGTCCTGAAAGGAAAGAAGGTTGAGGTGTTCTAAGCCTCTGAGTTCAGCTGCAGGGGTTTTGGGGGCATTTTAAACCCAAACCCTTACCTTCCTGAGCCCAAGAAATCACAGAATCAGAGGAAAGCTGCCCTGATGAGGTTTAACAGGTGTGTGTGAGAGGGGTGACACTGTCCACTCCCAACATGACCTGAGGGCTGTGGGAAGATGCTGGACCACATAGCGGAACTGGGCAAAGTGGTTGTCAATCCGGCTCTGGGAAAGAACCTTTTTTATTTTTGCTAAAATGGGCATAAAGCCCTACAACTTTGTGTGTAGCCCCAAACAGCTAAGATCCAAATACACTTTTCAGGATTCTGAATCCTAAAATACCCACTACTGACAGTAATTTACATGACCTTTTGGATCAGAAGTATAGTGAGAATTGATTATATTCATCTGGTTTTTTACCTAGGATATAATTTCCTCAGGAGTATTGATAATATTGGTCAATATGGAAAGAATGGGTGCTGAATGACATATATAAATTAAACAACCTCCTTTTTAAAACATGACTGATCTGAACTAAGAACAAACAAGAATACCACCAAGTCATAACCAAGTCCTTTTCATACGAGAGTAGGTTTTGAGAATTTAAGGCCTGTCCTTTATTGTCCCACATGGTGATGAACTGACCAAACATACATACAGGAAAAAGAAGTAAAGATATTAAATTTTTATTTTTAAAAGTTTGCTGTTTATATCTGGGCTTCACTGTGGCTCAGTGGTAGAGAATATGACTGCCAGTGCAGGAGAGCATGGGTTCAATCCTTGACCCTGTAAGATCCCACGTGCCGCAGAGTAGCTAAGCCCATGTGCCGCAACTACTGAGCCTGCACTCTTGAGCCTGGGAGCCGCAGCTGCGGAGCCCATGTGCTGCAACTGTGGAAACCTGT